TTTCACCATGTTGCCCAGGCTGGTCTCGAACTCCCAGCCTCAGGCAATCCTCCCACCTTGGCCTCTCACAGTGCTGGGGTTACAGGCGTGGGCCACTGTGTCCAGCCTCACCTCAAACATTCTCAAGTGCTCTACCTGCACAGCAGTGTGTGCTGTGAGGATGCTGACCCAGCCACGGAATTCGGGGCTCTGTGGAGCTCTTTCCCTCCCGTGTGCTGCTCCTGAGACTATTCCTTAATATAAGGATGGGAAGGTGGAAATGGGACAAATAGCAAATAAATGAAGGAAGAGAGCTAAGGTGGAGTGAATATCAAGGAAGGAAGATAAAGGAACTCCCAACCCAGGCACAGTGGCTCATGCCTATAATCCCAGCACTTTGAGAGGCCAAGGCGGGCAGATCATGAGGTCAGGAGTTCAAGACCAGCCTGGCCAATATGGTGAAACCCTGTCTCTACTAAAAATACACACACAAAAAAAACTAGCTGAGCGTGGTGGCATGTACCTGTAGTTCCAGCTACTCGGGAAGCTGAGGCAGGGGAATCACTTGAACCTGGGAGGCAGAGGTTGCAGTGAACTGAGAGCATGCCACTGCACTCCAGCCTGGGTGACAGAGTAAGACTCTGTCTCAGAAAAAAAAAAAAAGGAACTCCCACTACAACTCATTAAGATTCCATATTTTGGCTACTTAGGAGGCTGAGGCAGGAGAATTGCTTGAACCCAGGAGGTGGAGGTTGCAATGAGCCAGGATCGTGCCACTGCACTCCAGCGTGGGCAACAGAGGGAGACTCCATCTCAACAACAGCAGCAGCAAAAGATTCCATCTTTTGTTTTCAGGGATTAAAACTTTAAAGTTTGATTAAAACTTTAAAGCACAGCAGACTGCAGGCTAGAAAACATGAAGTGGCTGATGAGAGTGAGATTTGGCGGGGCCGACTGAGAAGGAGGGATACACTCAGAGGGTCAGTGCATGCTGATCAGTAGTGGGATCGTGCCTGTGAATAACCACTGCACTCCAGCCTGGGCAACACAGCGAGACATCGTCTCTTAAAAAAAAAATACAATCTATCTTTTCTCTACTGATATGGCACGCCCCCAATCATAAACCAAAGTCCATGTATGTGGGGACCTGTTTCTGTGATTCTTGTTCTATTCTGTTCCTTTGATCAGTGTGGCTTTATTTTGCATTTTCCTGAGAGCATATGTTGTTGAGCGTCTTTTCTCACATGCTAATGGCTATATATATATAAAATATTAAATCTAATATATGTTTATATTCCTGATAAATTACTGATTCAATACTTTGTCCATTTATAATTGGGTTGTTTCATTTCTTTTTTTTTTTTTTTTTTTT